GCAATGAGTTATAGTATTGTCTAAACATGTTTTGACCAAAACGAGAATGTTTTTATTGTCATGAAGAAGTATTCAACTTCCTTCCAAAACAGGGTTTTGACATGTTTAGACAGATTTAGAAGGTATTCATCACAATACTCAATTCAAAATCAAAGGTTTGACTATATAAGAAGGGGAATTGAAATGAAAAGGGGGGGATTCGACAACAAATCCACATAAATCCTAAATCAAACCCAAAATTTCGTAAAGAGAAGAAATAAGAAACTTATCTTCTTTAAGCATCACCGGAAACCTTCAAACCCTCATCATAGCTTTTGCTGCGTCGCCGTTGCACCGGAAAACCGCCGTCGCTGCAAAACCTTCATTCACTGCGAAATCACCGGCGAAGCCATCGTCATCGCCATCATGGGTAACACTTTCCTCACTTGACATTTTCAATTCATAATTGATGTTTGCTGTTGCGGATTTTTTGGATAGATCATGTGAAAAGAGGGCCAGCCAAGAAGAAGGAGTGAAACGGAGAATCGCAAGGAGACAAAAGACATGAGAATAACGCAAGAGGAGAGAAGCGAAGAAGATGAGGGAGAGGGAAAAAGGAAAGAAGCGAAGAAGCTCAAAGGGGGGGGGGGGAATTGGGATTTTGGCTTTTTTTTAGTTTTTATGTTGTAATGTAATCTCACGCACACACACACACGATAACCATCGTGCACTCACGCGTCACCGCCGTACGATCCCTCATCAGATCATTATCATGCGTCCACCTCGCTCACCCACCATACACCCCCGCATGCCCATCCACGTGCAACCGTCCGCTCTCCCTAACCTCTTAATTATCTTGCAATTAATCCCCATAATCCCTAATTAAACCATTAACCTGCCAAATTAACATTTTCATTAACTTAATTAATTATTTAACCTTCAATTAATCTTTAATCAGTTTTTTCACTAAAACCAACTATAACTTTTTATAATTAACTTCCTCAACTTACCTATTAATAAATTCAATGTTGTTAATTTATTTAATTTATCAATTCAATAATCTCCTTTTATTTAATAACACTATTTTGTTTATATCCTAAATAATAAAAAACTCATTTCATATTTGAAATAACTTTAAAATAAATAATAATAATTAAACCTTTTATAATATACGTAAATCAACCTTTTTATTTATTTATTAATTCCTTAAATAATAATAAAATTATTTTTCCTAAGTAAACTGCAACTAAAAAAATTATAATAATGAATTTCTTTTTAATTTGTTTTTATCTAATAACAACTCTCTTTTATAATATAAAAATCTATCTTATAATAAAACCCCTTATTCGTAATTTAATATAATCTAATATAACATTTTATTTAATAAAATTCTTTGTAATAACCAATAACCTTTTATTTAAGTTATTTATCTCAATTTTGTAAATAATTAACTCTTCCTAAATAAAGCGAATCAAAATTAATATAACATTTCATAAAATCAATCTCAACCTTAATCCATCGTGCACGCGGCACGCATTCACTTTTCACTCACTTGTGCACCTTAGCACTTTCATGCGTCTGTGTATGGATTTATTTATCGGCTTTTATTTTATCCGCAATTTACATTTACCGTATTTATCTTTCTCGCATTACATAGCGTCCAAAGGAAGAATCTGCGCACAACGTGACACTTGTGCGTATGCATCTCATTTGCATCATATTCCCCATTGATCCTTGATTCCATTCAAGTTGATCACCTAAGATAGATCCTACCCCATAAGGAGGACCTTTGTCTTTTATTCTCTTACAACTTAGATACAAACAATCAACTCAATTCAAACTTATTCAAACACATTAGAGAATAAGACATGAGTCATCTTGACTGGCGAGGTGTAAATCTCCTGCCCCATAACAATACAATCAACATGTAGGGACTTTTCTGTTTGAGAGAGCTAGTGGCGTACTCGTCGACAATCCGAGTGCTTGAGCCCTTCTCTTAAGACGATGCAAAGACTATTTTCTTACAATTTGTGGTGGCTAAATTCGAGTAATCTCCCTTAAGATGACAACTCGTCTTTTCTCCTAGAACCAATCAATCAACAAACCTTATTCCTTAGGAACTTTGACCACAGTCAAAGAACTCCTCAAACCCTTTAGGGGAACTACAATTACTCTTATTCCATTCCTGTCAGGATATGTAGGCACAAGATGCAACGTCTTGTCGAGTATACCTAGAAATAAACCCCTAGGTCTTTCATCCTTAAGCAGATAACCCTTAGCAATAAACAACGTTAAAACGAAAGGTTCCTGTAGAGTACTACAAAAACTTAGGATGCTAGCACCTTCCCTAAGTTTAACTAACCCCCAAACCTATAACTCTCTAACCTTTGCATTTGCATTGCATTGTGGGTAATTTGATCTTTTTCCCTTCCTTTGGACAAATTAATGACCGGTTGCAAATGAATTAAGATTCAAGCTCATCAATAGCTTGGTATCCAATTTTCACCGCGACAGTTAGAACTTTTTATTTTTCACTTTCTGAGCATTGCATGTTTCATCAATAACTGGTGAAGAACAATTGAGGGTTCGAAGCAGTTGATTTCTGGAAGAGAGGACGATAACAGAACAAAACCGATCAGGTAAATGTCCGATTTTTAGTGTCATTCTAAAATTAAAAGTTTATGGTATGCTTTATATGATTTGTTGTTCTTACTGGTTTATCCTGGTTTCATCTTTGAATCTCAAAAAATTTGTTTGAAAAACACCGAGTTTTATTGACTATTAGGTATATATATTGTTATGGGTTTTAAAAACAAATTTAAATACTTAGGGTTTGTCAAAGAATCACAGATGACATTGTATTCTGATAATTAGTTGTGATACATATAAATAATATTGTTTATTATCTTTTGCAAGCTATAAATCTACTATGGACGTAATCTAGGGAATGGTGATGGAGATTGGTGGAAGTGCACCCGGTAACAGAGTTTTTGAACAAAGGGTAAAATGAAGAACAAAGACGATGATAATAGACATACCGAAGCAATACCAACTTCAACTAATTCTGGTGCTGTTAATGGCCAAGATGAAATTATGGAAATTTGTCAAGATGAATTTCATTTGGCTATGAAGGCAGGAAATGAGCTGGTATAATAAATTTTCTGATATATATGTTATTATAATTCTCTGTTAACTAATTTTGAAAAACTTAATGAATTATTTGTTTATTATAATTCACACAGAAGATTGCTAAAGGTAAGAAGAAGATGGTTGAAACTAAAGGTAAGGAGAAGATGGTTGAAACTAAAGGGAAGGAGAAGATGGTTGTAGCTAAAGGTAAGGATAAGATTGTTGTAGCTAAAGGTAAGAAGAAGATGGTTTTAGCTAAATGAGGTAATGTAATGTGGTCGGAAGGGAGAAAATAATATGACTCAAAAAGAATTGTTTAAAATAGAGTATATGGAGCAACTATGTACACTAACACCAAAAACTTAAATATTTTTATCACAAGAAACTCTCCAAACAAGATACTTTTGCCTTCGTCGTAATCATTATTTGATTTATATGTTTTCATTCTAAACATGAATTATAAATATTAATAGGAATATTAGGATTATCCAACTGCAGAATTGTAACAAAGTAGCATATGATAAAATGATCATTCATATATATATGAATGATCATTTTATCATATGATATTTTGTTACAATTCTGCAGTTGGATAATCCTAATATTCCTATTAATATTTATAATTCATGTTTAGAATGAAAACATATAAATCAAATTATGATTACGACGAAGGCAAAAGTATCTTGTTTGGAGAGTTTCTTGTGATAAAAATATTTAAGTTTTTGGTGTAAGCATATATAGTTGCTTTATTGGTGGAAGTTAGTATTTTGCTGTTTTGTCGGTTCAAGTTGGGGCGCATAATAAGAATCAAGATTGTTATTGTAGAATTGGTGGTTACTCCTTAGTCTGAATGTCTAGAATTAGCCCGATACTTGATTTGTTATGTTGCAACAGTAGTGCTTTCTATCAAATTAGTTTTTGATCAATTCTGAAAGCATGACAGATATAATATGCATTGTATTTTCATGTTTTGTTTTTGTGCTTAGTTCTGGCCGTGGTGAAAGGTTCAGGTGTTTGTGGTTTGTAATGGTTTATTGGGTGACTACTTAGTATTTTGGTTGAATGGTTTGTATTTTGGCATGCTTGTATGGATAGCCTTTTAAAACTTTATTGTGTAGCATTAAACTTTGTACTGGTGCTACTCTTCTTGTGCATATCTTATGATTAAGTTAAGGTGTTTAATACAATCTTATGATTAAGTTGAGGTGTTTAATACAATCTTATGATTAAGTTGAGGTGTTTAATACAAATTTTTAACCATAAAAAAAATTAATGAAACATGCATAAACCATTAGCATTATGGTGGCTTGTGCAAGTTTGATGTTCGGTTGCAAAATACCTAACACGAAACTAATAAATATTTATGAACATTAAGTCAACTAAAACTAATAAAAATTATAAGAAATACATAAATTTCATAATATAGATAAGCAATGCAATTATATAAAATAAAGCTACATGTATATATAAAGATAAAAAGTTTCACTTGTTTTACAATAATAAAAGATAATATTTAAAAATAATGTTGATTCGAGTAATATTAAAGACATAATAAGTGTAATGTTGATACAATAACTAAGTAGTATTATTTTTGAATATATAATTTGATTAAATTATTATTCTATATTTTTAATTATATTAATATTTAAAAACAAAAAAAAATTCAGATTTGATAAGTTATATTTTGTAGCTGCGACGGAATCGTACAAAAATTTAAAAGTTTAATAATTTAAAATTTGCTTTCAAATTACACAAATCATTGGGTCCACATAACAAGAATAATAAATTTCCCATTGATTTATTGTTACAATGTCTTAACCCATAAGAACAAACAAATTCATACTTCTCCCTCCTAGCATCCACCATCACCCCCAACTCCCACCTAACAAAAAATGACCGAACTAGACAAACCTAAATCCTCCTCCTCCGCCCCTCCTCCGCCGCAATCTCAACCCTTACCACCTCCTCAGTACGGTACTTTCCAAGGCGTATCTAACTTCCCACCGCCTCACCCTGCCATCGGTTTCCCTCAACCCGTTCCCCCTCCCGGCTCCGATCCCTCCGCCCCTCCCTATTACCCTCACGGCTACCAAGCTTATCCCGGTATTGTTCTATCCTTCTCGTTCTTTTAGGGTTTTTATTTACGGCTTATTTTCTTGATTATTGATCGGGTTTGATTTTGAGCTTGGAAATGAAAAATGATTTAATTTCATTTTTGTGAGGTTAATTTATTGGATGATTTCTGTGATGGGTTTTTGTTTAGGGAAAGTTTTCTAAGTTTGGGTTGACTTTAACTTTCTTATGGAGTGTTGTGTTTGTTTATTGATTCACTCAATATATTTGATTTTGATTTTGAAGGTTGAATTTGGAAATTATTCTGTGTGTTGATCGGAATGAATATGTTTTTTTTTTACTGTTTGATGTTGAAGTATATCATTGAATTTGTCTTTGTAGTTTAGTAGACTTTAGGTTTTGATATTGTTTTGCTGTATGATAATGATTCAGGTTATGTTGTTGCGGAAGGAAGACCTGTGAGAGAAAGGCGACTTGGGTGTTGCGGTATTGGTTGTGGCTGGTGCTTGTAAGTTAATTGATTAATTAATTTCCTATGTAATTGCAGATTAGATCATTTTAACAACTTGTAGAGTTAGATAACTATGTATGAAGTTGGCTTTCCTTTTTATCATCATATGATATTCAAACCTATGCCTCCTAGCCCGTTCTTTTGATTAAAAAGGTTGAGTCTATGTAATTAGATGAAACTCTTGATTTTCTATTTGGTTAAAAGTATGCTGCTTGTGGTTTTTCTTTTGGCGTTGACTATTCTGGAAGTTATGTATATCTGCACACACGTTTCACTGTGGTTGTCAACTTTCAATGCTTTGAACCGTTATATATGTTTATGGCTTCTATGTTTTGGCTTATTTCCTCATCATATGTTAATCTCAATTTTATGTTTGGGGAAAAGCTTAATGCTCAAATAGTAAAATTTGTCTATTGTGCTTGAGGGAAATACTCTCTTTGATTTATGACTAACTAGTTTTTTTCCTTGATCTTTTTTGGGTGGGGGTATGCAAGAAGATAATATTGAAATGTTAAATGCATTCTTATTTTAAGTTTTGATGGTGTGTCTACCTAATGTTGTTTTAAGTTGAGAAATTAGTCATCATAGTCAGCGGCAGTCTTGTCCAGTAGCTGCACTTTTGCATAGCAGAATTTGAGCAAATTGCTATTGTTATACGATATGCGGTAATACAAAGTTTTGCCAAATAGTATCACTGAAGCATAGTAAATTTGAACAAGTTGCTATTTTCTATGATTCACAAATCACAATTGACAACATCCTAGTATAAAAGAGAGAGATCTGTCTCAAACATCAAACTGTTTCTCACTTATCGTAGTCTATGAAGAATATTTCAATTTGAGAGGGAGAGAAGAGGGAAATGGGATAAGATTTTCCATTTTCTGAGACCCATCTCAAACATCAACTCACAGCTTTGTGAAAAAGGTCACCTTCCAGCAATCTGCTTTAAACTTTCAGCAGTTTGTGTCAACTGGTGTCTACATCTTTTTTTAATATTTTATCTTATTAAAATCCCCTTCCCACCTCTTCTGACTTTACTGTTCAAAGGAAAATGGTTAGACATGTATGTAGCCATGATTTTGAATATTTTATACGTGGGTATGATGAGTTGAAGAATTGGTCATCATATTATTAAATTCATGATAGCAGATTTATCATCTTGATTGTCTTTAAAGATGTGAAGAATATTACAACTTGAGAGGGAGAGATAAGGGAAATGGCTTAAGATTTTGTCATTTCATCAGACCCATCTCAAACATCAACTCAGTCTTGTGAAAAAGGTCACCTTCCAGCAATCTGCATTGAATTTCAGCTCTTTGCGTCGATTGGTGTCTACATCTCTTTTTATAAATATTTTTTTATCAAACCCTTTCCAGTCTTGTCTGATTTTGCTGTTCAAAGGAAAAGTGTAAGACATGTAACCATTATATTTTGACCACTGTATCCTGAGTTGTACTGTGATTTTTTTCTTTTAACATTTATAGTTTAACTCAACATTTTTCTATTGACTCTCATCTTTGTATATTGAAGTTGACATACAGTGACCGGAGCTATAATATTTAGGACCAGGTTATCCTTTTATATCAAAGACATGAACTTGACATATATTATTGAATTACTCTGTTAAATGTGAAACATGTAAATGAACTTTTTGGACATGATTGACAATACCTTGACCCTTGTTTATATATTTTGTATGCTATTTTTCTTTTCATTGGCTAAGAAAGTTTGGTAGGAAGTATTATTTCCTGCGTTGGTTGTGAATGTCTTTTTCATAGTGCCAGCTAATTTGAACCAGGTGGGTCAGTTCAATCTTTGTGTGTATTCCCTGATGTGTTTCAAATTGAGGCTTTCCATTTCTCTCTTAATTTTTTTGAATAAGACTTGTAACGAATATTGTCACATGTTGTAATTTCAACGAGGATAGTTCATGCTAAAGGAGTACTTCAGAGATTTTAATCTATTTCCCCTTTTTACATTTTTAGTATCACCTTTTTATCAAGTGGGAACCATTTACCGTTGCCATTGTTTCTGTATGTGTTGTCCACTTTGCAATTCAAATTCTTATAGTTGTCATGTTTTATCTTTCTTTTTCATTTTGTGTCTGCATTAGCCACTTACCTTAACATTGGTTGTCGATTTCTAATAGTTTTTCGTCTTGTGCAGGTTTATATTGGGTTTCTTCCTTGGTGCTATCCCGTGGTATGTTGGGGCAATAATTATGCTTTGTTCCAGGGTAGACTATCGAGAGAAGCCTGGATACATCGCCTGTATAGTTGCTGTAAGTGGATTCTATCCTTTCACTATTTCACTTGAAACCTGTTTCAGTTCTTTCCTTTTTTATAATCTTACACATAGATATATCATAGTTTGTTCCTTTTCCTCGAATTTCATGTAATAGTCTCGATGATCTCCTAGTTACCTAAGTATATTATAGAAAGAAGAAACATGTGTTCAAATAGAGTATGAACAGTCATAAACAAGATTATTGTGAATTTCACATAGTATGCCTCTGGGTAAATAACTTAATTTAGCTATGAAGTATACTACCTCAGATATGACATGTCGAAGGTACTATAGTTTATAAAAATTGCACTAGTTATTTCATAACTGAATATTTTCATATTTCAATAATCTATAATGCTTTTAGACTGTGCATTGAATATCTTTGATTACCTGTATTGTATCAAATTGATCCACAATGTCTGAGAATGGTAGTTTTTGTTGTCATGTAATAACACTAGCTTTATGAGACTGGTTTTGCAGGCTGTTGTGGCTACAGTTGCTATTGTCCTTGGAGCGACAAATTTAGCAAATGAATGGTAATCTTCACTTCAAGAGTTGTAAATGTTTTGGCTAGGCTAGACTCTGTATCTAAACTGTACTAAAAGTTGTGTCTCAATGAGAGATTTACATATAGCAAACATATGTTCATTGAAAGATGATACCTTCCGCGAATTTGTAATTGTATTGTTTGATTTCTTACAAACTTGTCCTGATGCGTAGCAAACTGAAACATAAAAGCAAAACTTTTTTTGCTTTAATTATATATAGATATGTATATCTACAATATAATCAAACTCTTCATTTTATTTTAAATTTTAATTTTGTAGGACTTGATCAGTGAGTAAACTTTCAACATATAAGAAATGCTTAATAAGTAATCTATAACTATTCTCCCTCTCTCTCTTTCCCTCTCCCCTCTCTCCCTCCCTCCCACCCCCATACAAGCAAAATTAGACCGTAAAGACGGATATACTGAATCATAGGCCACTTCTAAGCCAGAAATTTTGCTTCTTGAACTAGTTTTTTGATATGAATTTCCTTGTTTTGAAAAACTTCATTGTTTTTTAGATTTCGGGTGGAGGCTTTTTTTAAACAGGTTGCTTTTGAAGGAATCTCTTCTGTACAGAGGTATCACTTCTTTTAATCATTATGCTTGCCCTTTCCGCTGTAATGAATCTGAAAATCTTCTTCACCTCTTTTTCAATTATGAAATATCTAAAAGAGTGTGGTTCCACATATCAGTTTGGATTGGTTTTGAGGTTATAAACAACGTTGTCGATATTCAGAGTTATTTCTTGTGTGTGTTGGGTGGATTTTTTTAAAAGGAAGAAGGTCAAATTCGGCAGGCAAGGAAATATTTGGTTAGCCATTGGTTGAAATATTTGGTCTTTGAGAAATGAAATTTTATTTAACGATGATGTTTGTATGGTCTCTGATCTTATTTGGAATATTAAGATTATGACTTGGAGGTAGTCGCTTATAAGAGATATTAGTCATCCTAATTATAACTTTTATGATTTTTGCAAAGATCCTTTGCTTTTTTTTAGTTTGAGTCTCAATTGATTTTTAATTTCTTGTTGTTGAGATTTTTGTCCGTCTTTTGTAATCGGATTTAAATATCTATAGTACTCTTTTAGTCAATATCTTGCTTTAAAAAAATAAAGAAGAAGAAATAGTAATGCAATATATAATGATAAAGTTACAAAGGACCGAATTCTTTCCCCTCCCCACACACTTATTTTTGCAAAATTTCAGTTAAAATGTTTTTTTAATTGATACTAGTCGAACATCCGTGCTCCCGCACGGGTAAAATCAATTTGTAATAATAGAGATAAATTGTTTTGATATGCATGTATAATACTTGATCTGACCTGATCAGGAGGGGATCACGATATGGCCACATGCTGCTGGACGGCTACCTGTTCACCGGGGTGAGAAGGAGGAGGGGGGTGTACCTGCAAGACACTCCGATGCCAAAGTAAGAAGTTGGGCAGAGTGGAAGCGACAGTACAGAAGAAGGGGCAAGAAGAGTTACCTGACCCTCTTGAGGAAGAGGGTATTTATAGAGAGACCCCAGTGCTGGGCCAACGGTCATTTGAGATGGGCTGGATGACCAGGCCCAACCCTAATGACTGCTAGGGCTTACGTGGCGTAGTGAAGACCAGGACATGGTCTTCGCCCTAGTCCAACTGCTCCTAGATCTCCGGAAAGTGGGTTTGACCTGCTCTTTCGGAGGTGGGCAGTTGGTTGATGACGTGTCCCCGCGGAGGGGAGCACGTGGAGAACGTGCGTCGGGCACGTTGTTCTCCCCGCGGCGGGGAGCCCGGGAGGTTCCCCGGGGCGCGTTGTTCTCCCCGCGGAGGGGAGGAGCCAAGGGCCGCGCTTTGGTGAGCCGGGGACGGTTCTGCTCGTCCGGTGTGGTGGACGATGAAAGGTCGTTGGGACGTTGCTCGCTGTTCGGCGGCTTGCCCTGCTCGTCTTGAGGGATGCACGTGCCCGGCGTGCCCGATTCGCTTGTTGGGCCGTACGCGGTATTGGGCCTGCCGAGGTTGGGCCCATACCGGAACAGGAGCCCCCCAAGTCGAAGCTCTGGGGAGAGAGCGAGGACTTAAGGTCGCCGCATCTGGAACGGGCACTCGTGCGAAGATCTCCGGTCGTCGGCAGAGCGGGGAGGAGGCAGGTGAAGGGACGCGACTGTCAGGTTGCCGCCACGTGTCTTGCGTTAAGCGGTCGTAGGGGCGGCTACCCTATGTCATTAATGAGCCTAGGGTCGCTTCGAGTCCCGCGCCGGGTTATAAATGTGAGAGTCCCCGCTCATTCTGCTACTTTTCTCTCTGTCGTTGTGTCTGCTAAGCTTTGTCGTCTCTGCTCGTCCGCCGCTTGCCGCCGATCGCCGCCGTACCGTTTGATCTTTTCTTTCGTCCGCCGCCGTTACAAGTGAGTTCTTCTTTTCCCTCCCTTTTTATTTCCGTCGTTTAATTGGAACGTGTGGTCGGGGCGTGATGAACGCCCCGAGGAGGGACGCGAGATCCACCGTGTCTGGCGAATTTTCCGATGAGTGTCCCGGGGAGGTTAGGCTGTTTCCGATGAATGCCCCGAGGACGGGAGCTTTTTCTGATGAACGCCCCGAGGACGGGGGCTTTCTCCGATGAATGCCCCGGGGAGAAGTACCTTCTCGATGGCTGTCCCGAGAGGGGATGAGGGGTCGGCCTTCGATCCCCCGAGGAGGGTAGACGGGGAGCGAGTGTTTGCTCGTCGCTTCCCGGCCTTTGTCGCCCTTTTACTTGACTTGCGGTGGAAGGGTGGATTTGATCCTGGCTATCGAATTCACCGTTGTCCTCTGCTTTCAGGTGTAGATGTCGGCTCTGGTGCCGGGGATAATGGTCGAAGACAATGAACCTGAGATTCCGGAGTATGATGATGAGCGTATTGCCCCGTCCGAGGAGTGGGCGGCCGAGGAGCCGCTTTCCACCCCTTCTTGCTTTGTGGCCGACGCGTCCAACGTGTACGCCACGGTCGAGGACACGCCTATAGGAGAGCCACAACACTGGCAGGTGTACCGACCAAAAGAACATCACCGTATCTGCTCGCGATATGGACGGCGGATGTTCCCGATGCATGAATTCTACTTTAAAGAAGCTCGGCTCCGGTTACCGTTCTCCGCCTTCCATCTGGGGCTTTTTGACTGGCTGCGCCTTGCCCCGTCCCAGCTGCACCCCAATGCCTTGGCTTTCATCCGGCTTTCGAGGTGGTGTGTTTCTACCTCTCGGTGGAGCCGACGGTGCCATTATTCTTCCGCATCTTCCATCTGCAGCGGCAGACGGTGAATGGCCGCCACGGATGGGTTTCTTTTAAGCAATCGACAAAAATTTTCAAAGCGTATAGCGATTCTGTCAAAGACTTCAAAAACCGGTTCTACCTCGTCAAGCCGATTACGCAGCACGGCTCAGACACTCTCTTCGACGAGGGCGAGCGAACGGTAGATGACCAGCGATTCCGCGCGTGGCTTCCTAAGATACATCTACTGTGGACTGCGGAGCATTTCAGCCGAGGGACGGATAGGTATATCGTCCGGGCAGGGACCCTCGAGGAGAAGGACATGGCCGCCTATTTGAAAATAATTGCCTTTGTGCGGTCTCTCCCTCCGTCGAAGCTGGTGACGCCCGACGGTCGGTATATCCTTGACGCTCAAGGGAACGTACGCACCAAGAAGCGTCTGATAAATACTAAGACCTTGCTCGGCTGTGCGACCGGGGCGGCCGCTCTGGATTACCTAGGTAGGAATGTTCGTTTTTCCCCCCCGTGGTCGGGGTTTTTGACCGTCGCTAACTCTTTTCTTTATTTTTGCAGCGAACATGTCTTCCGTCGAGGAGCGGGTGAAGCAGTTGCGTGCTACTAGGAATGCCGCGGCCCCGAGGACGAGGGTGAGCCAGCTGGTCGGACAGGAGGTCGCGACGCCGGGGGGGCAAAGTTCGTCCTCCTCGCCTCAAGAGAGCCAATCTCCTGCGTCTCAAGGAGCGTCGAAGAGGCAGAGGTCCGAGGAGCCCCGAGTGGTGGATCTGACGGTCGGCACCGTCGAGGAAGGTTATGTCGTCCCTCCCTGCCACCAGCATCCGGGATATTTTCATGGTGCCCGTTCTCCCACTGTCTCCGCCGGGGAGGTGAAGGCTGTTCGTCAGGCCGATCGAGAGACCCGTCGACGTGTCCTGGCTGAGGACTTGGCCGCAATGATGCGGACGTTCACGACGACTCTTGTGCTGAACGAGGAGGGTTGCTCTGCCGCCGAGCTGTCCAAACTGCAAGGGGATCTCACTTTCACGCAGTCGCGGTTGGCCAAGCTCACTGAGGAGTTGGAGAAGAGCCAGAAGGATGTTGCTGAGCAGCGGAAACGGGCAGAGGGTGCTGAGGGGAAGGTGACTTCGCTGGAGGAAAAACTGGGGACAGCGATGGCCGAGGTGCAGGCGCTGAAGGTCCGCACGGAGGTTTTGGACAGCGTGGTTCGTCCGGCCGAGGACGAGACAGACGGGGATCGACGGTTAATCACTCGTGCTGACCTGATCGCTCGTATCCGGGTGTTGGAGAGCGACTGTCTGGAGGCTGTTGAGGTCGGGTTCAAGAGTGCTGTCGAGCAGGTTCAGGTCGCTAACCCTGGTGTCGTGCTGGCCGTGGACGGGATAGGGCCGTACCACGAGATTGTTGATGGGAAGGTGATCGATCCCTATCTTGTTATCCCCAAGGAGGAACCCGTGGCTGCTGACCGGGCGGACGAGGAAGCATAGGTTGCCGGGCCTGCGTGCTCGTTGTTTTTATGGCCTGCGTGCCGATGTTTGTTATCTCTTTTCTTTGGGCCTGCGTGCTCTGTTTTTGTATCATTGACTACTGGGCTGGTGCCCGCTTTTGTTTAATATATTTATCGTGGATTTTCTAAGTGTGCGCTCGTTATTTGCATGTCGTTTTATGCTCGTTTTTCGTATTTGTTTGAATGCCTCTGATGTGTATGACATTTCTTGTAAATTTTCTAAGTGTGCGCTCGGTGTGTT